GCTGGCAGTCAGGCACAGGCATGTGTTCCCAGGGGACGTGGGACACAGTCACTTAGGTGGCACCTCAGCTCCCCCAGAACGCCCCAGGATGCCTGTGGAGCCAGGATGCCTGTGGAGCCTGTGTCGAGGTGGAGGAGCCTGGGGGGAGCCAGCGACAAGTGATCCCATCTGCCCCGGGATCCTCAGAGTACTGTGACAGGGAGAGCAAGAGGTCTCCTACCTTTGGCCACCTTCCTCTTCCTCCTCTGCTTCCCCACCTTGCAGGCCAGGAAGACTCCAAGAGCCAGGATGAGCCCCACCACCATCAAGACCCCAAAGATCAGGAGGGTGCTGGGCAGGTCCGCTGAAGGAAGGTCAGAGGTGGGCTCTGCTGTGGGGCAAGATGCCGGCAGTATGAGGAGGGGGAGAGCTGGGGCGTGGGAAGGAGGGCGGCAGCATTACCCACCTACCTGTCCAGCCTCAGAGCTGTGGTGGCAGGAAAGGAGAGTAACTCTTCACTGCTACCCACCCACCACCCGCAACCACCCTGCCTGGTGGGACCCTCATCCCACCTGCTGCTGTTGCTGTCTGGTGGGAGATGAGGGTGTCCTATTCTTCCCATGGTCACCCCCGTAACAGGCTGTGACCCCTGCACCAAGCTGGATCTTCCCTCTTCTTCCCACACTGTGTTCCCCTTACTGGAACTGGCTGTCCTCTTCCTCTCTCGTCTTCTTCCCCCAGGTGGAGGCATTGCTTCACCTCCATATCCACAGGTCCCCCCCTGCCGCTCCAGGGGTGCTTCCAGCCCCCTTAGCCCACCACCACGCAGCCCCGAGGAGCTCGATCCCCGTCCGCCCTTGTCCCCTTACTTGTGTTGTCATTGAACAAGTCACACTTGACGCAGGACTTGGTCAGGAGGTCGAAGCACTGGGACGAGAGGCAGGAGGAGGCAGAGGTGTCTTTTCCTGATGAGGACATGGCAGAGTAGGAGTGAGACTCTGGCTCTTGCATGGCAGGGATGGTGAAGGGGCCGCCCGAGTGTGAAATCGCAGCACCCTGGGGCCAGTGGCAGAGGGAGATACAGTCTGTCAAGCTGCGTAGTCTCCCTTGGGACTCACAATCTCTGTGCTTGCCCTGGGGCGGATCTTCACCGGGGAGGAGGAGGGGGAGGGCCCAAGCCCTACCCCTGACTGCCCATGCATTGAGGCCTCAAACTACCCCTCCCCTTCAAAATATGCTTTCAAAATTCCTGCAGCTCCTCATGTGTCCCAGCTACACAGCCCAACAGTGTCACCTCCTCAGCCCTCATCCTTCCCCAGCCCACCATATGTCCCCCTCAGCCCGGGCATGTCCTCCAGCCCACACCCTCCCTTGCTAGCCAGCAAAAAGCCTCCCCCTCAGCATCCTCCAGTGTCTATATGAGGGGTTCCTGTGCCAAGATCTTTACAGGACCCCATTCTAGGGCCACGGATCCAGCTTGGATGGAGTCCAAGGACTAGAGGAGTAGAGGCACTGCAGTTTCCCCTTTTAAAACCTCCTACTGCCCCCAGGGCATGGCCTGTTAGCAATTGCTCCATAGGCAGGCCAAGTGGTGTGTGTTCTCCATCCCTGCTAATGATGGTTCTCTCCATCAGCTTGTTCTCTGCATCCCAGACCTAGACCCATGGCAAGAATCCTCCCAGACCCTTCGCACCATGTCTCATTCTCTGGGGTTCACCTCTGGCTCTGCTCAGTAACTGCCCAGGGCAGTGGACAAAAGCAGGTCACACCAAACAAGTCTAGTTCCCATACCCTTGGAAGTGACATTAAGTCACCCTTAGTTGTCTTAGATGTTCCTGATTAGGAGCAGCAGAAACATCCTGCCACCAGTAACCACATCTTGAAGCCTGGTGATTGAGATCTGAAGTGGGTAAGTGATGGATTTCAGTAGATGCAGGTGACTCTTCTCCACCCTTATCAAAGAAAAATCATGTTCCCTTTTTCTTCACCCCATAGGAAAGAAAAGAACCAGCTACAGTTGCTGGTTTGCTCTTAGGTGAAGGAAGTAGCACAGGAAACCTGCCCTGGCCAGGAGAGCCCTAATGGGGCTTTAGTGTTGGAATCTCATCCTTGCAGCAGCTAGAGCCTCCAGGATCTTTGTCACTCATTGTCCTGAACTGAGGCTGGGAGGGGAGGAAGAGAAAAGCCAAAGGATGCTCTGGCTCAAGGTGATAGAGTACCAGGTGTCCTCATTGGGCAACTGAGCTCCTCTGAGACAGGCCAGAGGACTTGGTCCCTGGATGTATCTGCCCCTCTCCAACAGCTTTTGGGCAAGCTGAGCTCACAGCCTCTGCACCCCTCCTCTTGAAATCCTCAGTAGGATGCAATCACCAGCTACCTTTGCTGGGTCACAGTAGCCCAAGCACAGCTCTCCACTACACCGTGCCCCGCAGGCTGGGAGCTGCCCTATGGCAGAGCCCTCCCAGCACCCCACTTACATCTCCCTCCCTGCCAGCAGCATCCCTGCAGGGTGGCTTGCACCAGGGCAGCACTGAAGCAGCCCCAGCACCATCTCAGACCTCCCCACTGGGCTCCGTGGGGCTCTGGGCAAGTGAAAGTCCTGACCAAAACCCGTTGCTGCCCGTCGGTTCCACGCCTGCCACGATTTCACTTCCTTTTCAAGCTGGTGTGCCCAGACACTCGCTTCCTTGCCTCTTGTACATGTACTCGCCTGCTGGGGAGCACTCACCTGCTGTGCTGGTGGGGATGGCTGTGCCAAACTCAGAGGGCTGTGGGCTTCTCCACAGGCTGCCATTCCTGTGCCTGTGACTCAGTTATGCCTGTTCTGTCTTAGTCAAAGTAAAACTCCCTGAGTGAGTGGGGGCATGCCAAACACTTCCCTCTCTCGGTGCAGCCCTGAGCTCTGAAGCCAGCATAGCACCTTCTGCCTCAATGCTTGCGCTTAAGGGGCTGTGCTCGCCCCTGCACAGGTACCTGCCCGGGGAGGACATCTCTCCATGTCCTACCTCACCTGGTTCCCTGCCTCTTGTGCACCGTGAGCAAAGAATGGGGCTGTAGTGCAAGCACTAGAGCAGGAGGAGAGTGAGTTCAGCTGCTGGGTGCACCAGGATCATCTCCAGGTGGTCAGAAAGCCACAGCAGAGTGGGCTAAAGGGTCAGAAGAGAAGCTCAGGCTCACTCCAGGCCACATCTGAACTCCACAGCAGGGAGCCTCAGGGAGGAGAGAGAACCCAGAGCCCTTGCTGTCCCTGGCAGGCAGCTCACAGAAGTGTAAGGGTATGGACTAGGGAGGAGAAAACATCTTGCCTTCTGGGCTGGTGGTACAGGACCCATGTACGGAGGCAGAGGACCCACACAACATAGCCAGTGCTCTGTCAGGACACTTGCCTGTGAAACAGCTCCCTTCAAAGGCTTTGCTGTTCCTCTTGCCCCTTGACGTTTCCACCTGCTGGTCTCCATTTCCCAAAGCGGGGTGCTCCTCCCGTCATTCCTCTCTCACCCTCCCTCCTGAAACCCCCGCACTGTGCTTCCCCCACATCAGTTGCCTCTCAGTGACCCTCAATGCCCTATTTCTGTGGATCCCACTGTAGCACTGTCACCTCACCCCTCTCCTTCCCCTCTCCCCTCCCTGCTTGGCTTAGATGCGGAGTAGGGAAATGGGTCCTGGCATCTGCTGTACCACACTTACAGATTAACTCCATGACCCCTCCAGTCAAGTATATCACCAGGGAAAGCCCAAACCAAGGTACCTACATGTTGCTTTTAACATGGAGGGTGAGGCTGACAATAGAGCTCAAGAGCTCCCATTTCGGTACCTGGAGTGAAAACCTGAAGCTGCAAATGCCCAGTGGGGAGCCCAGGGATGGCAGCTGTGATGTCCTGCTGTGAATAAAGTGCTCTCAGGTCCTGTTACATGGAAGAACGTTGCAGCCTCATCACTGCAATTGATCTTACCCTATTCCCTCCCATTTTCTAAGCCTTCTTTATCCCCCTCCACAGCTCTTCTGCGCTCCCTTCCCAGTCCATCTGCTTCCTCCTGGGCCAAGAAAATGATGTTTGAATTCACGCATGATAACGCTTACTCATGGAGAAAATCACCGCTGACTTCCCCAGCGGCAGTCACACGTGTGCCTGCTCACCAGTGTGGCCCAGGCTGCCCGGTCGGCTCTGGGCATCAGCCGTCCCCCTCTTCATCTCTCTCATCTTTGCCTCCCCTGCCCTTTGTAACAGCTGTTGATCGTTTTTGGAGCAGCGAAAGTCAAAGCTTGGAGAGTAGTTTGAACTATTTGCATCGAATAGCTGAATACACTTGATAATAGCTCAAATGCATAATTAAAGAGCAGAAAAAATGACTCACTGGATAAGGAAATGCGCTTTTCTTATCTCCTCTGCAGAGAAACGAGAAAGCCCCAGGAGCCTGGAACTCCAGCTAAGTAAGTGCTTTTATTAAACAAATAAACCAGCAAAGATATCAAAAGAGCTATTTAAAAATTATGTCTTAATCCTGGAGTCAGAAAGCTCGATTTCCAGTGCCGTTTGTTCTAACCCTATACTGTAAGGGCTGACTTCGGCCAAGGTTGGCTGCTGGGATCCTTGCAGAGAGCCCCCCAAGGAACGGGGCAGTGGCCGTGACTGCAGGAAGAATTGAACAGCAGGGACAGTGATGCCCTGTGAGTGCTCGTGCACACATGAGTGACTGGACTCGTGTGAGCGGTTCCTTTGGTGTCAGAGGTGGGTGAAGTGACTCATGCACGCACTTGCAGAACCGCCCGTAGCAGAAAATATCCACCAAAAGTTCACCTTGTACTCGTGTTCACCGGAAACCCAGAGGCTTGTAAATCAGAGAAGCTGTGAGGTGTTTATCAAGCAGACCCAGTTATCTTGGGAGAAATCTGACAGGATGCACTCAATGCCCCGGCAATGCCTCAGCACAGCCTGACGTCTGCCCCATGGTCAGATGGTGCCACTGGAAGGCTTTGGCTAGCGTCAACCCCCAAAGTATGCTCCGCATTGTGCCCCTGCGTCCCTTCCCAGCACGCCTGTGCCAGCTGGTTGGAAGCATCCCCTCCTGAAAGGTCTCGCTATGGCTCTCAGGAACTTGTTTCTCAGGACTCCAGCATAAAGCTCCTCCTCAGGATCCACCAGGATGTCTCAGCATGGGACATCCTCAAAGCCAGGCTTAGGGACAAAATCTGGGAAGATTTTAGGAATAATGTGGGAAACTGCAGACTTCAAGAGATTCACCAGTACTCTAAAATCCAGACCTCTCTGTAGGTGCTCTGCTTCTTTACCAAGGGTTTTTGTGGCACTGCTCAGCCACTTGCATGGGGAGTTTGGTGTGAGGCAATGCCCCAGCGACATCAGTTCTGCTGAATGTTTTTTGTCTCCCCCCTCCTTGTTTATGTAACCCTAGAACTGTGCTTGTCCAAGGCTTGGGTCCCCAGACACTACCCAGGCTCTCACAAGACCCCCTTCTCATGTTGTGAGCAACATGTCAATAGCTGAGCCCAGCTCTTCTGCCTGGCCGCCCCTGCAAGAAAACAGTGAGCAAATCCACCTGCCTGCTCTGCCTGCAGCAGGGATGCTTCCCTCTGAGGGTGGGTGGGAGCTCGCCTTGTCCCCCTTGAGTGACAGGAGGGGAGGCCAAGTGCCCCTCTGACCCTGCCACCTGGTCATAGGAAGCATTCATTGTGGCTGGTAATAGGAAGCATTCACATGCCCTGGCAGGTCTGGGCAGCACCTCCAGCATCAAAACAGAAACCAATGGCTGAAGGTGATGCGTTGCCACACTACAGACTGCCAAACAGGTGGGTTCAGGCATGCATACGCCAGGACAGAAACCTCCCTAGCACTCCAGGTCAAGTGCAGAAACTTGGCTCCATGGCACTTGTGATCTCAGGGCACAGAGGTCTTCAGCAGATGACTTCAGAGCCAAAATCAAAGCTTACTGAAGGTGAGGTGCTGTCTCCCATGGAGCCCACACCATTTGTCACTTGCTTCAGCAGCAGGGGACAGGAAACCACTTCGGTCAGCCTAGAAGTCAAAACTAAACCGAGCAACCCCAACTGCATTTTGCACAGAGCTTTGTTGTAATGAACTGCTCAGAGGAGAGCTACTGCTCCAGCTTATGCATGGGAATGGTTTGGTGAAAACGTTTGCACAAGACAGAAACCTAAGAAAATACAAAGGTGCTTGCAAGCAGT